CCCCCCCGTGACGCCCCCCCCCCGTTTCAGGGCTCTCCCTGGTGGTGGGCCTGGTGCTCTACATCTCCAGCATTAACGACGAGGTGATGAACCGGCCCAGCGGCTCGGAGCAATACTTCCAGTACCGCTACGGCTGGTCCTTCGCCTTCGCCGCCTCCTCCTTCCTCCTCAAAGAGGTGCGTCCTTTGCACGCCCCTCGCACGCCTTGCACGCCCCTTGCACGCGCATCGCACACCCACACAAAGCTGACCCGCAGCCATCCCGACCCGCTGCACGCTTTGCAAATGCAGAGAGCAGTTCACACAACACTGGAACAGCCCTTGCACGCCCCTTGCACACTCCTTGCACATGCCTCGCACGCCCCTTGCACACGCCTCGCACGCCCCTTGCACGCGCATCGCACCCCTGTGCAACGCTGCCCCAGAACCATCCCAACCCCTTGCACAATTTGCAGCAGCAAACACAAGGGGCAAACACAGCGCCTCACACAACACTTGGACGCCCCTTGCACACTCCTTGCACGCCCCTTGCACCCCTTGCACACGCACCGCACGCCCATGCAAAGCTGCCCCACGGCCGTTCCCAACCCACTGCACGCTTTGCAGCAGCACTGCAAAGCCAGGCACTGACCCACACACCCCTTGCACGCACCTTGCACACGCCTTGCACGCCCACTATAGGGTGTCCCTAAAGGGCGATGGCGTCCCTATAGGGGACTGATGCCCTTATAGGGGGGTGATGGTGCCCCTATAGGGTGACGCTGCCCCCATAGTGGGTTGCTGGTGCCCCTGTAGGGTGCTGGTGCCCCCATAGGATGATGATGTCCCATAGGGGTGCTGGTGCCCCTGTAGGGTGACGCTGCCCCTATAGGGGGATGCTGGTGCCCCCATAGGGTGATTATGTCCCATAGGGGTGCTGGTGCCCCTGTAGGGTGCTGGTGCCCCTATAGAGGGGTGATAGTGCCCCTATAGGGTGACGATGTCCCATAGGGAGGTGCTGGTGCCTCTATAGGGGGGTGATGGTGCCCCTATAGGGTGATGATGTCCCAT